TAAGCATCTTTTAATTTCATGGCTGCAATCACCATCTGCAGTGATTTTGGAGCCCAAAGAATAAAGTCTGACACTGTTTCCACTGTTTTCCCATCTATTTCCCATGAAGTTATAGGACCAGATGCTATGATCTTAGTTTTCTGAATGTTGAGCTTTAAGCCAACTTTTTCACTCTCCTCTTTCACTTTCATCAAGAGGCTTTTTAGTTCCTCTTCACTTTCTGCCATAAGGATGGTGTCATCTGCATATCTGAGGTTATTGATATTTCTCCCAGCAATCTTGATTCCAGCTTGTGCTTCTTCCAGCCCAGCGTTTCTCATGATGTACTCTGCATATAAGTTAAATAAGCAGGGTAACGATATACAGCCTTGATGTACTCCTTTTCCTATTTGGAACCAGTCTGTTGTTCTATGTCCAGTTCTAACTGTTGCTTCCTGACCTGCATATAGGTTTCTCAAGAGGTGGTCTGGTATTCCCGTCTCTTTCAGAATTTTCCACAGTTTATTGTAATCCACACAGTCAAAGGCTTTGGCATAGTCAGTAAAACAGATGTTTTTCTGGAGCTCTCTTGCTTTTTCGATGATCCAGCGGATGTTGGCAACTTGATCTTTGGTTCTTCTGCCTTTCTTAAAACCAGCTTGAACATCTGGAAGTTCATGTTCACATATTGCTGAAGCCTGGCTTGGAGAATTTTGAGTGTTACTTTACTAGCGTGTGAGATGAGTGCAATCATGTGGTAGTTTGAGCATTCTTTGGCATTGCCTTTCTTTGGGATTGGAATGAAAACTGACCTTTCCCAGTCCTGTGACCACTGCTGAGTTTTCCAAATTTGCTGGCATATTGAGTGCAGCACTTTCACAGCATCATCTTTCAGGATTTGAGATAGCTCAACTGGAATTCCGTCACCTCCACTAGCTTTGTTCGTAGTGCACACACTGCTGGGCTCTGGGGAAATGAAGATGAGGCACTCAAGGGGCAGTTAACACTGACAGGTAGATGTGAGCTGAGAGGTGCACAGACAACAGCCTAGAAAGCTAGTGGAGCCCCTGGTCCTCAACAAAGTCCCAAGGGGACATGGAAAACCATCTTCTCCAGCCCACACCAGAAGCCTGGTCAACTTATGTCCTATAGAACTATAGAGACACACCTCTCTGGGAGAAGATGGACCATTCCTTTCAGTTTCTCAAACTTGCCACATCCCCTCCTACCTCTGCCCAGAAGACTGCACTGCCATCCCTGCCTCTACTTCCCAGCAGGTTCTGGTTTGCACCTGCTCATCCTGCAGGGCTGACCCGTGGATCTTGTCCTCAGCAAAACTCCCCTGATCCAGACAAGCCAGACCACCCTGCTGGCTGATCTCACAGAACCGCCTTCTTCATGGTGCTCACCACAGCTGCCGCTCACTGATAAGACTGTCACTTCTCAGTGTCCATCTTAGCCCCTAGGATTGGGAACACATCTCTTTTGTTCGGCCTTGTGTTCTGGTACTGGGCATCACTCTTGACACCTGATCCCCTTGCAAAATATGTGATGGATGAATGACATCGATGCTGAGTGAGGAGAACCCAACTTGTGTACTCTGGGGACATGGAGATCCACACACACACCCCCACCCCGCCTTGGAGCCCTCTAGTCCCTTGCAACCATATTTGGGGTGAAGTCAATCCCAAGTAGTTTTTTCCCTAACAAGGGCCACCTGTCTCCTGCCTGCTTTCCTCTAAGCACATGCTCTATGGGAAGGGAATGGGATTTCATTAAGTGGCACTTAATGAGTGTCTCTCTCTTTAAGTCATTTTTTAAATCTTATTCACCATCTTTGTGATAAACAAAGCCCTGAATAACTGCTGAGAAGGCGCCTTCGCTAGACCTTCCATTGCCCTAGTTGCTTCTAATAACTATGGTGGCACCTACGATTCCACTTTTTACTCACTCCATTAAATGGGAAAACAGCATTGACAGCAGTCACATGCTCTGTCTTGCTGCCACATCAGTAAGCTTGGGGAACGTACATTCAGAATGATTTGATATCTTTTGGTCCGTGATACACCTCGTGTGTGTGACAAATGCCTTGTCACAGAAAATAAAAGTCAAGTGGCATTATTTATAGGTTTCTCAGTGTGGTCTGTTCAATAGTCAGTGACTCAAACACAGTTGTCCTGGGTCATTTCAGATACTCATAAAAGTAATACCCCGTGGGCCTGTTCTCTGGGGTTATTGGAAAAACAAAACAATGGTGTGTCTCTAAGACTTTGTACAAGAAAAAGCCTGGCACATTTCCTGGCACAGGCTCCTGCCCACTGGCGGTATGAAGTTTCTCAATATGAGGACCTTGATTTAATCACATTAGTTATGCCTCATGACCCCACGGAGGAATTCATAGTAGGCATGACTTTCCAATTTCTTGGGTGAAATTTTTTTTAAGTTCATGAGTTTATTTAAAATGCTGTGAAAATGTGGCCATGCTAAAGAGATGACAACTATAGACTATTGAGTTACTGTGTGAAGGGAAGGATGGGGAAGGATTAGAAAGTCCCCAGTAGTTCTGGGAAGATTCACTGGAGGAAGAAATGGCAACCTGCTCCAGTATTCTAGCCTTGAGAATCCCATGGACAGAGAAGTCTGGTCGGCTGCGGTCTATAGGGTCAAAAAGAGTCAGCTACGTCTGAAGTGACAGCACGCAGTGCTGAAGAGGAACAGAGTAACAATGATGCATGCTGTTTTTTTTTTAATTAAAAAATTTTTTTTGGCTACATAACACAGCATGTGAGGTCTTAATTCCCTGACCATGGATCAAACCCTTGTCCCCTACATTGGAAACACAGCATCTTAACCACTGGACTGCCATAGAAGTCTAAGACTATTGCTTTAGATATTGCATTTCAAGGTCTTATTTTGTGGCGTGCACTGTTCAGAAGCAGATCTCATCAAATCATTGTCACGATTAAATGACTTGGATATTGAGATTTCCACTTGAGAGCTGGGGAAACTGAGGTTCAGAGGTGCAGTGACTTGCCCTGGTGGGTCTACAGTGTCTTTGTGATGGATTTCTCAGCCAAGAGGATTCTCAGGTCCGGGGTGAGAATAGAGACTGGATCACTTACTGCGGCCCCAGGCATCTGCTCTGGGAGCAGAGCTGGGCACCTGGGTTTCACCGTGTCTCACAAGTGGTCCTCTCCGCCCCCTCTCACCTTGGTGGCCACACATCAGGGTTGAGTGGCCACTCAGCTCTTTCCCTCCTCTTTCTGCCAGGTGGTGGCCAAAGTTGCACCGTGTTTGCACTCCTATGCAGAGGAAGTAGCCACAATTATTCAGTCTCTCTGGCCTGTTAGAATGACTTTTGTTTGCAAGTGATATTTTATCCCAATCAAGGATATGACCTATTTTCTGAAGATGCTCAGCAGAGTTTCGTAATGATCTGCAGGCTGGGCTCAGTAGGTTGACCCTGGGGACCAAATTCCTAGAACATTCGCATGAGAAAGAGTATCAGCTGCCAAACACTTATTCCTGGTGAGGGAACTTAGGTTCAGAGAGGGGAATAGGGACAACACAGGACAGTAACCAGAGCCTAGCTCCCAATTACTGTGCATGTATTCATTCATCCAGGCCTCCCTGATGGCTCAGTGGTAAAGAATCCGCCTGCCAATGCAGGAGACATGGGTTTGATCCCTGAGACAGGAAGATCCCCAGAGAAGGAAGTGGCAACCCACTCCAGTATTCTTGCCTGGGCAGTCCCATAGACGGAGGAGCCTGGCGGGCTACAGCCTATGGGGCCACAAAAGAGTCGGATACGACTTAGCAACTAAGCAACAACATTCATTCAGCCACTTCCCTTCACCAACTTAATTCTGCAGTAGATGGGCAAAGTGCTGTTCCAGCTGTTGCGGAATCGACAGCCAGCAAGCCCCACAGAGCCCCTGCCCTGGTGCAGCAGAGATTCCAGTATTGTTACATCATCACACAGCTCGACACACCACTTGCCATTCTCATCCCCAGGAGATGAGAAAGTGTATCCCTGCCCAGCGCAGGTGTGGGCGATTCACAAAGATAATGATGGTGAAAGTGGAAACCCCCCACCGGAGGACGACACTTCAGCCTGGCAGTACCCTTCACGAGAAATCAGTTTTTCTTGGCAGGGGAGGTTTCTCCATTGCGTTAGGATCTTTTTGGCAAGGATAAACCCACAGACACAGTTTAAAGGGCATGCACATACACACACACACACACACACACACACACACACAGAGTGAGGGTTGTTGGCGTGGGCCACTTTCATGGGGTCTCTGGTGGACACTAGCTGAACGCCCTCTTTAGCACGGGGTCGCCAGAGGTGGTGGAAGGGCCTGTTTTGCCCACAGGTTCCATCTCCTACCTTGTCTGCAGGGGCCCCCACCACGTCCTCTGACTTGATAAAACCTGCAGCTTGTTGGAGGGTTTAGGCACCTCCCACTGGGAATGTCGAATTTGCCCACCCTGGTGCAGCATAAAATGTTGTATTCGCTCTGTGACTCAGAAGTCTCATTCCATCCCTGGAAATCACTTAACTTTGAGGAGGAGACCGGCATGCCTGCTGGCTTTCTGTGGTGCACCAGCAACATTGCAGGACTCCCGCAGAAACTTGCTAAAGAAAAATGACAGCCCCCGAGGGTATTCACATCCCATGGAGATGGCTGGAACTCTTCTTGCAGAATTCAGAATTGATTTTCAAAATCAAGAATGCAATTCTGAGTTTGTGCTGCGCTCTGCTGCATATCCCATCAATAAAGAGAAGAGTCAAGTACACCCTGAAAAGGGGATATTTAAGTTCTAGAAATGGTAAGGGTTTGTGGAGGCCACCAAGGTGTATACCTCCAGGGTCGTTTCTCTCCCCTTATAGTCTTTCGAAGGGCCTCATCAGCAAACCAGTCACCGAAATCAGTAGGAAAGTGCTTTCTGGAAATCACAACTGGCCTCATTTGAATGAATCATAATTCATTTCTCCCGGTTCTGCTCTTCTGTCCTAGATTCATTTGTTGGTGGAGTCATTGGCCTCATTTTTGCCTACATTTGCTACAGACAGCATTACCCACCTCTGGCCAACACAGCCTGTCACAAACCCTACGTCAGTCTCCGAGTCCCGCCCTCGCTGAAGAAAGATGAGAGGCCCACGGCCGACAGTGCGCCCAGCCTGCCCCTGGAGGGGATCACCGAGGGCCCCGTATGACCCAGACCTCGGGGGATGGACTCTGAGCTCAGACCACGCTCTTCCACCCTGACCTCATCACACAGTAGAAGAGTTTTCTGTAATATGTTTCTCATCCGTTGTTTCTCCAAGTTCTCCTTCTGCTCTCATTTTGCCGATGGTGATCCTGCTACATCCCATGTCTACTTTCAACTCTCCTGAACTGGTCAAGAGAAGGGCCCAGGAACATTTTGTGAGAGACACGTGGAAGGCGGCTGCCAGGGTGGGCAGGTGCAGCCTTGTTGATTCCTCCTTCCGAAATGTTTGCCGTCATGGCCACCGTCCTATGATTTCATGGTTGTAAAACATAATAAAACATCCCACTGGAAGACATGGTGTTGGCAGTTCAGTGCACAGATCATTCCGGGCCGTGGTGAGTTTCACATCCACCCCCAGGGTGGAGAACCGGCCCAGCCCTAGCTGTGGTGGTTCTAGGTACTGAGCTGCGGGTGGAGGCTGACAACCTTTGAGAACTGTCAGCTGATCACAGCTCTGAAATGGAGCTGCAGAGTGGAGCTGCAGCCTTGATATCTCTGCTGCTGTTGCTGCTAAGTCGCTTCAGTCGTGTCCGACTCTGTGTGACCCCACAGACACCAGCCCACCAGTCTCCGCCGTCCCTGGGCTTCTCCAGGCAAGATCACTGGAGTGGGCTGCCATTTCCTCCTCCAATGCATGAAAGTGAAAAGTGAAAGTGAAGTCGCTCAGTCGTGTCTGACTCTTCACGACCCCACAGACTGCAGCCTACCAGGCTCCTCCGTCCATGGGATTCTCCAGGCACGAGTACTGGAGTGGGTTGCCATTGCCTTCTCCGTTGATATCTCTAGGGCTCTTTGAATCACTGAATCTGTTACCAAATCCAAGCTCAATCTGGTCATCCCACTGAGCCAATAATTGGGAGACAAGGTTTTGAGGCAAGGAATAGTGACTTTATCTGGAAAGTCAGGCATCCAAGGAGATGGTGGACTAATGCCCTACAGCACTGTCTGATGGGGTCTGGATGCTAGTTCTTTTTATGGAACAGAGAGAGGGAGGAGGTCAGGGAACAATGTATAAAGGCCATAAATCTTGCAGAATATCTCCTGATTTGGTCATCCTTGGGGAAGGGATGTATTAATTTCTTCTTTCCCACAGCCACAGGAGCAGGGCAGGGAGTTTCCCTGTGAGCTGAACAAAGACACTGTAGTTTAACATTCAGGCTGAGGGGTGGGGTTCCCTGAGGCAGGCCATTATGTGTGCTTATAATTACAGATAGCATCCTTTCAGTGATTAGAGTAACAAAAGCATCAGAAAGCAAAGGTTAAAGTAAAAGAAACACCAAGGCGGAGTCAGATTTTGTTCTTCCCTGTTACAAATTTAGAAGGAAATGAGATGAATCATCTCACACACAGGTTTCACACAAACAGGAGGAAAATAAAGATGGAGAGTATGGGGACAGGGTCAAAGCAGTGTTCTGAGGGCAGAAGGTACCGTAAACTTTCAAGGGTATGGCTGGGTGATGCGGGAGTAAAAGCTGCCCCTGGGTAGGAGGTTTTCCCCTTCAGGATCCTGGTGCTCAAAGGGTTCTTCACGTGGCAGCAGCGGGTCCCCAATCCTGTCTGGCTGGTGGCGTTTCAGCATGATGGGGCTCCTGCAGAAGGTGCCAGAACAGAAACAGAAATATGCTGTCTCTGGCTTAGCTCTTCTCACTGTTTAAATGTGGCCACAGGAGAACTGTGTGCGGTCTGAGTACAGAGCCCGCCACTCCTCGGCCAGCTTGCTCTTTTCAAAGCAGTGAGCAACCTTCCGTTCAGTTTTGATCAGACATGCCAAGTGGTTCTCCAGGTCCTCCAACCACGGGATGCATTTCTGATGTCTGAAGACTGTCACTTTCCAGCAGTCCCTGTAACAGACTGCATCTGTAGGGACTCGAATGGCTGTAGAAGCGGTTGCCATTATAGCTCTGCCCTGGGCATGTCAGTTAGAACCATCAGGGGGTCTTTGATCAGCCATCTCAGCTGTGGGCTAAGCCTAGGAGTGCCTGTACCACTTGTAAAGATCTTATCAGGTGAGCTCCAGTGCAGCTCTCTAGAGCTATGATCGTTTCAACCCTGTGTCCACACCTGCCAGGGAGCAACTATCCTATTGTGGGATAAGGAGAGGGGAAGTCTTGAAGTCCTTCCAAAGTCAGATATTTTTAAATTGCAGCAGTTACATTCACGAGTAACTTTGAAAACATGTATGAGATACTTTAAAAGCTAAATCATAGCAATTCATAAGACAATTTTAAATCTGACTTCCCTGATGGCTCAGTGGTAAAGAACCCACATGCAATGCAGGAGACAGAAGAGATGAGGGTTCGAACCTTGGGTCGGGAAGATTCCCTGGAGTAGGAATGGCTACCCATTCCAGTATCCTCGCCTGGAAAATATCCGATGGACAGAGGAAACTGGCAAGCTACAGTCCATGGGGTCACAAAGAGTTGGACATGATTAAAGAGATAAAGCATGCAGCAAATAAATCCAGACAAAGCATGCAGCAAATAAATCTAGAGCCAAAATTCATATAAAATATAAAAATTGAAACAGTATTCTGATCTTACTAAAAATTCTATAATTTTGAAACTGAAGTCAAATATAAAAATACAGGAAAAGAATCCTTTTGCTACCTGCTGTTAAAAACAATCCACCCAATGCCACCCATATATTTCTTTGATTCTGGTTTTCCCCCTACTCTGCATAGCAAGCAGGAGGAAAGTGAGAGAACCACACTTCAGTTCATGATGATGACTTAACACTCTGGACCATGAAATGTAAATTTAATATAAAAGCTTACGTTTAACGATAAATAGAAGGACACTGAAAAGTAACAAAGCCCAGAGCATTGTTACTGCTGACGATTATTAAATTGAAAGTCCTAAGATAGGTCATGTAAAAGCTTTCATTAAATTGTAATTAAAATCACTAAGGATGTAATAACATGAAGTGTATGGCAGGATCCTTAGGAGACATAATTAACAGGATGAGCCAGTTCACAAAAGGCAGGTGTTTCTGTGGGTGCATGTGTTTTAATTTCATGCTCTATTAAGATGAAGGAAATGTAGCATCACAAAGCACTAATAAAATGGCTGAGAATGAAGTCATGTGTTCCCCAGCCCCTGGTCTTTTTTGGATGTGAGGGGTTACTAATTCAGTTTCTGGCAAAGCAGGTTGTAGACGGTTCACACAGAGCCCAGCCAAAAGCTGTAATCCGTGAGGCTCTTCCCTCCCCGAGAGAGCGTGCTCAGAGTCTATCTGCGTTGGCTAGAACTCTGTCCTGTGGCCAACCGGAAGTCAGGGGGCTTGCAGGGGAGAGTCTGCATCATTTTCCTCTGCTCCCTTTCACCAGGTCCTCAGGTTACTTGCACATGGGGGCGTGGTAGTTTTCTTGTTCATCTGGTTACTGATTCCCAGGTGCCACCCCAGAGCTCCTGAATTAGACACTGGAAAAGAGAACCCTGAATCTGTAGTGAGGACTCACAAGCAGTTCTCAGACCCCATGCCTGAAAGTCTTTCTCCTGCCTCCCTTTCTCCTAGAGGGACAGGCTGGAGGGGCAGGGGGCCAGTCTATGGAGCTGTTCTCAGGGCGTCTTCTTCTCTGGGAGGGAAGGGTCTCAGAGATGATCATGTTGTTTTATTTTCTGTTGGTATTTCCATCTGTGCTGCGTGCTGTGTCCCATGGAGCCACAGTTAGTTCATCCTCTGAAGTCCAAATCCCCAGAGTCTCCCTTGATGGTTTCTTTTCCCTGATTCCCTTCGTCCGATGCATAAGCAACACTTCTTGGTTTTACCTTCAAAATACTCCCCACACTTGCCCATGCCTCACTCACTCACTTCCCGCCCACCCCTCCGACCTTAGCTGTGGCCACCCTAGTCCAGGGGGTCACCCTGTCTCACGTGAACGGCTGTGATGCCTCCTACCTACCTCACCACGTCCACTTCTGCCGCCTAATCCACGATCCACTCAGGAGCCAAAGTGTGTGTGTGTGTGTGTGTGTGTGTGTGTGTGTGTGTGTTGCAGAGCCCAGCCCTGAGACCAGGTGAATATCCTGGGGCAGGAGATGTATGAAATATAGTCAATATGTAATTCACAACTCACACGGTTTATTGCATCCAATTAGCACATGACACAGGTTAGACAGAGTAGGGAAAATAGAACAAGTGGGTAGTGAGCCCTCCCAGGAGAAGCCCAAGAAGGAGATGACTCTGCACAAGCAGTCAGACAACAGGGTACAGGGCGGCTTTGTCCAGAACAGCTGCCAGCAGCCTGGAGTTGGGTCCTTTCAGCAGAAGAGCCTTGTAGCCACATGACTTGGGGGTCTTTTTTTAAGGAGGAACAGGGGAGGGTTCTTGTCTCTAACAGTTGTCCCTTCTGTGTCCATGATGTATGTGGCCCATCAAACTTCTTATCTCAGGTTCCCCCCTTAGTTTATCTCTCATGGACACCCACAGTCCTAGGGCAGGTCTTTCAAAACAACTCACGTGGACGTTCACACTGACCACTGTGACTCTGTTTCGGGCTACTTAACATGTCCTAAAAACATGGCTTAAACCCTATAAGTTTCACAGAAAACAAATCACATCATAACTGTGTTCTTTTTTTATTCCGGTATTATTTATATTGGGCTTCCCAGGTAGCTCAGTGGTGAAGAATCCGCCTGCTAATGCAGGAGGCTCAAGAGATGTGGGTTTGATCCCTGAGTAGGGAAGATTCCCTGGAGGAGGAAATGGCAGCCCATTCCAGTATTCTTGCCTGGGAAATCTCATGGACAGAGGAGGCTGGCAGGCTACAGTCCACGGGGTCACGAAGAGTCGGACACGACTGAACCACAATACTATTTATATAGAATAAACTCAACCTTTTTTGAATGTCCAGTGTTTTGAATTTTGATCACTATACACAGCTATGTGACCACCACCACTGATTAGAAGTGCTCCCTCCTCCTGGAAGGTTCCTTTTTGCCTCTG